ATGAATCAATTTCCCCATGTTAAGTATCCTCACACCTTCTTGTCAACTGTCTGGAATGGGCCATCTTGATGATCAGTACAAAAGTTTTTTTTCTCCTGTTGATAATAGTTCATCTTAATTAATGAGCCTCATAGACTCATAGACTTAAGGTCAGAGGGGACCATTATGATCATCTAGTCTGACCTCCCGCACAACGCAGGCCACAGAATCTCACCCACCCACTCCTGTAACAAAACTTATTGGCAAGATTGCATTCGTATTCTTACATACATGGTGCTTATTTGGGTGTTTCTATGTCAATTTACAAATGGGAGCAAGCTGCAAAGTCTGGGTGTGAAGCTCAGCTGTCGTAAGGTTTGGGTCAGGGAGCTTGGTTTCAGTTCATCCCTAGGTTCTGTTTTTCTTTTATTGCTTATAAACTATTGTGGCCTGTATAGTATCCTCTTCTCTTTCCCTTCCTCCTCCTGCTTCTTCCCGTTATAATCTTTGGGAGCATCTCCCTTGTCTGTCATTGAAGACTTGGCTTTAGTGTTTGTTATGGATCTGGTGCCAAAAGTGCGCATGGCGCTTTATTGATGGTGTAGGAGTGAGATAATTTAGTGACTCTTTTTTGTTTTGTTTCCTGATGGACTGTTTGTTCATTGCTCCTGCAAGGTATGAGGTAGATCAGTGAGATACTATAGATTTTATAATTTCATAACATAAATAAAACATCTGCACATCAGCTTGATTTTTTTTTTTTAATTCTTTGATTTAGTGCCAAACATCCTAGGAAGTAGGCAAACTAGGGTGGGTTGAGTGCGGAAGGGACAGAAATGTCTGAAAAAGAAACATGGGAAGTTGCTACTTGACATTTTGTAGATTCCACAGAGAAACCCAGGTTCAGCAAATTGATAAAGCTTCAAAAACCACTGCATGAATGAGCTAAAACCTGCTGATCTTGTATTGAGGCTGGTGTGTGGTATTCTGCTCCTTTGCATGTATCTGCCAACGGGTAGCGGTCAGAGCCTATGTAAGCATGCATCAATCATTCCGGAGCCCTTAGCTGTCCCAGATGAAGTCCACATACTCCTTTCCTTTCACAGATGGTCACTGTACACTGGAAACTCTCTGAAGTGTTTCTGTTATGCCACAGGGAGGTGTAAATAGATGTTTGCTGATAGTAAGTCACTGATGCCATGGTAGGGGTAACTTGCAATGTTGCTTCTGTAGTTAATTATGTGTGTGTGCAGATTAGCATACCTATTGCCGGTAAACCTGATTTCAGTACCAGGCAAACTGGTTGAAACTATAGTAAAGAACAAAATTGTCAGACACATAGATGAACATAATTTGTTGGGGAAGAGTCAACATGGTTTTTGTAAAGGGAAATCATACCTCACCAATCTACTAGAATTCTTTGAGGGGGTCAACAAGCATGTGAACAAGGGGCATCCAGTGGATATAATGTACTTAGATCAGGGGTCGGCAACCTTTCAGAAGTGGTGTGCCGAGTCTTCATTTATTCGCTCTATTTTAAGGTTTTGTGTGCCAGTAATACATTTTAATGTTTTTAGAAAGTCTCTTTCTATAAGTCTATAATATATAACTAAACTATTGTTGTATGTAAAATAAATAAGGTTTTAAAAATGTTTAAGAAGCTTCATTTAAAATTAAATTAAAATGCAGAGCCCCCAGACCGGTGGCCAGGACCCGGGCAGTGTGTGTGCCACTGAAAATCAGCTCGCGTGCCGCAGGTTGCCTATCCCTAACTTAGATTTTCAGAAAGCGTTTGACAAGGTCCCTCACCAAAGGCTCTTAAGGAAGTAAGCTGTCATGGGATCAAAAGGAAGGTCCTCTCATGGATTTGTAACCGGTTAAAAGATAGGAGACAAAGAGTAGGAATAAATAGTCAGTTTTCAGAATGGAGAGAGGTAAATAGTGGTGTCCCCCTGCAGGGGTCTGTACTGGGACCAATTCAATGTATTCATAAATAATCTGGAAAAAGGGGTAAACAGTGAGGTGGCAAAATTTGTAGATGAATCAAAACTACTCAATATTAGAGTGATCAGGTGTCCAGTTTTCAACCGGAACACCCAGTTGAAAAGGGATCCTGGTGGCTCCGGTCAGCACCGCTCACCCAGCCATTCACTGTCCGGTTGGTGGCGCCACGCAGTGGGGCTGTTAGGCTCCCTGCTAGCCGCCGCACCGTGAGGCTCCCGGGAAGCAGCCGACATGTCCCCCCCTCTGGCTCCTACACGTAGGGGCAGCCAGAGGGCTCCTCATGCTGCCCCCGCCCCAAGCGCCACCCCCGCAGCCAGATGCAAAGCTCATTGAAGTCAGTGAGAGTCTTTGTCTATGGCTTCACTACAGCTTAAGTCGACAGGAGTGTGAATTAGCCACCCTGAAGCGATATAATTTATGCCGATTTAAGCACTGGTGTGGACAGCGCTATGTCGACAAGAGAACTTCTCCCACCAACATAAGTCCTGCTGCTCGGAGAGGAGGCTGGCGTAATTAAGCCGATGGGACAGTTCTCTCCTTTGGTACAGCTGCACGGCTATAGGATCTCTTGAGTAGCCCTAGCCTTACTGTTAATATTCATGGGCTTTGGATCACGGTCGGCCTGCATTTCAGGTTAGTGATGAACCCCAAATGTCACCTGGTTTGGAGTTTCTGTTACAAAAGCTTTGCCCAGTATTAGTCCTTTAGGGATAATCCTGCACGGCTATGCGAGTGGTTGAAACTTTCTGTTGCTCTTGTGTAGGTTACTTTAGTGCAGTGATAGCGCGTTTTCTAACATGCTGGTGGGCAACCAACGCAAATAAAGCCACCCAGCCAGGTCAATGTCAACTATAGCGCGTAGGCCGCAGGAAATTTCTCTGATACAATCAGGATTGTTATAGTACTTCACATTTCCGTAGTGCCTTCCCTGATTGGTTTTCAAATGATTATTATTTATATTGTAGTAGTACCTAGAGGTGCTGGTCATGGACAGGACCCTATTGTGCTAGGAGCTGTACAAACACATTCCCTGCCTCAAAGAGCTGACACCTCTGCAAAATGCTTTATAAACACCATAGTCTAGACTGTGGAGCCCGTGCTCCCCCGGTGAACTTGCTCATTCAACTAGTACCATTGATTTCAGGGAGACTACTTGCTTGAGTAAGTGCCTGCCAGTGTGAGTAAGGGTTGCACAATCTGGCAGTTGATACTGTAAGTTCTTAGAGGCAGGGGCTATCTGCTCCTCTGAGTTTGTACAGTACCTAGCACACTGGGGCCCTGATCTTGCTTGGTCCCTAGGTACTACGGTAATAAACATGATTAATAACATATTATTCTCATTTTCCAGATGGGAATTTGGAGGCATAGAGAGGTTGTGATGACAGAGGCAGACTGTAGCAAAACTGGCGGTAGAACCCCGGGGCCTGATTCTGGTCTCAGCTAAGTCAGAAGCAATACCACTGAAATCCCTGGGACTGTGCGAGTGTAAAGCCAGTATAAATGAGATCAAGAATCAGGCTCTGGGTCTCCTGATTCCCAGAGGGGGCTTTAGTCAGCAGAGCTGCCTCCCTTTTAGAAAAATATTTGGCCTTTTTATGTGCCTGGATGTTACAAAGCCACTGCACCCAGGGAATGCTGTGTGTTTGGATTAAGTTTCTTTGTTGCTAGGGCTGAGGGCCATCTCAATGCAGTTGGTAAACTCCCTGTGACTATATCTTGCTCTGGGGCAACAAATGACTGTTCTCAGTTGTGGCCTACACCCCAGCACGCTTCCGTCCACATACAATAGGATACACATTTGCTGTAGTTTGGTTCAACATTAATTGCCAGATATACATGAGGGCAAGTTGGAGGTTGAGTCCATTTATCTACAAGCCCATATTAGGTTTTAACATCTTCCTCAACAGATACAGCTTATTTCTCCCCTTCCCCTTTAAAACATTCCATTCCCACCTAATTCTGCTCCCACTCCCTCCCAGCGATTCCAGAATCTCTCCTCTCTCTTCCTTGTATTAGAGAGACAAGGTGGGTGAGGTAATATCTTTTATTGGACCAACTTCTGTTGCTGAGAGTGACAAGCCTTCTAGCCACACACAACTCTTCCTCAAGTCTTGGAAAGGTACTCCCAACATCACGGCAATATTGTAAGGGACCATTCAAGATAGAGTGGCCTGTTAACACCTCTGCAGTCATAGGACAAAAAAGAGGTTTACCAATTGTTGTTGTAAGCCAAAAATCCAATGTCTCTGTTCAGGCCATGATTTTTAGTGTCTGTGCAGAGCTGTTCAGCCTATATGGAGTTGTGTGTAGTGGTCAGAGAGTTATAGATGGCGAGGGATGATGTTTTGTTTCTTGCATTTGCTCCGGAAGCATATGTTGCTGTTAAGTTTTTCTTCTTTTTTCTTCATGTTGTGGAGTTTCCATTTCAGATGGCTAAATTCGATATCTTCCATTGTTGTATGCAGTGTTGTAGCTGTGTCAGTCCCCGGATATTAGAGAGACAAAATTTATGGCTTATTACAACAATCTGTAACCCACTAACCCCTCTTTTTGTCCTAAGACTGCAAAGGTGTTAACAGGCAACTCTACCTTGAATGGTCCCTTACAATATGTGCTAACTATTTATGCTAATCTGTTCCACCTTGCGTTTTACTGTGATCCTGGCAGTACATTTCCCAGACTTGAAGAAGAGCTCTGTAAGACTTGAAAGCTTGTCTTTCTCACGGTGACTTCTGCGACAGATATGGAGCCCTAGTTATCAGCATACACTCCAGCTTTCACAACATTTCCGAAGGATTGTCCTCTCCCATATTCCCCCTGCATTCTCACTGTTGCAGTACTTTGATCTGAAAGGTTCAGTCCCTCTAGGTGCTGGATGCATTGGTGGTGCAGCCAATCTAGATGACACTGTCCTCTTCCTCTCACCTCCCTCTTGCTGCAGATCGTTGCATGTCAAAACAAGGCTCCAATTGCAGAATTGATTTTTTTTTCCCTTTTGTTCCTTCTCCAACTCCTAGGAATTTGGCAGCACAAAATTCATCACATCGAGGTGCGACTTCGTAGAAAACCTGATTACGAATGGCTGTGCAGGGGAACTTGAGACTCCCAAAAGCAGCATTAACATAGTGGAGAATCTTCCTCTAAGTAGCAAGGGCTCTAGCTTGACCCTTTCGGATGTTACACAAATAATGCCTCAGAAGATCTCGTTGAATCTGCGGCCTGGTGAGTTAACAATGATGCTGACCTTTGTTCTGGATCAGAAGATATTTGAGGTGTGTGTGTGTGTGTGTGTGTGTGTGTGTGTGTGTGTGTGCGAGG